AAGTTGGGGGGAGGGGGGTCTAGCAGCCAATAGCAACGGGATCTGCGGGCGAGCGAATATCACGTATTGGTTCAATATCACGTATTTCAGCGTGTTGATGGAAGTGTTGCATAATTATTGTGTAATAATTATCATGAATGACATTACTAGGATCATGTATACATAAAATACCAAAATGTTTTATTAATTAGATTAAGCTAGTAGTAAAGCTACACACAGACTGTGCTAACTGTGTGACACAGTTAGCATGAAGAGGAAAATAAGAATGAAGAGGAAAATAATAATGCAAAAAAATGTCTGACACGTGAAAACAGAGAACAGTGTTAGAACCCAAATGTGACCTTTGCAACAAAATCATTTACAATTGCTTCAATATCGATTCGGCGCCGTGCCGTGTCAGTGGAGACTGCTTCATAAGATATAATAGAGTTCAACTTTGCCGGTAGGGGTGAACAGTGTCGCGCCGCTTGTGTGGAGATGGGCCTCTTTTTTGTGTGCTATAACACAACGCAGCGTAGCTATATAGACACAGTTGGCTTGCGAACGCGTGGTGAATGTCGTGCTGGTTCCATGCACGTGAGATTGAATGTACTATATGTAGGTCGATTCTAAATGATATTAACAAGGGTTCTATTTAGATATCTGAATCTGAATCACAGTTTTCACACTGCACTTGACCACCTGGGCTTTTTATTTATTTTAATTTTCACCTGTGAAATATGGATGTTTCACGATAATTAACGCTTATCGGACTATTTTGGACCTCCCCAGAAAATAAGGTCTTCCAGAAGTTGGGGAGGTCCACATAAAAGTTGGGGGGGTCGTGCGTTAAATAGTTAAACGTTAAAGTTGCGTTTAATTCTTTTTTTATTTAATATTGTGATTCCTAATGACAATGTATCGTATTTACTATTTATGACTGACACTGTAAAAGCATAGATATAGAAGAAGGCATTAAATTTTTTACTTTCTACCGCCACCAGCCGGTAGTTGATCATTTAACAGCACGTGCGCCACGTAGTGGGAGAATCTAGAACTACGAGTAAAAATAAGTCACATTCTTGAGCAGCGCTAAGTTTGGAAGTGCGGAGATTCCCCGAGTACCGATCGACGTTGTGGTTGTAGCAACAACGATACCTCGTTTTCAATCAGCAAAGAATTAAGTTAGTCCGACAAATAATGTTAGTTATGTGAGAAGTTTCTGGCGATAACATAATTTTATAATTCTCACTCGTATTTTCCACAGAAGCACAGCGTCTGTGGATCGTAACATAACTCATAAGGGCGTACGACCGTTACGAATACGAGCTTTCATGCAGTAGACGATTAATTAAAGATTAAAGTTAATGACGGTTATGCTAGGCAATAAGTATTGTATAGAGAGTTTGCAGGATGACCTGGCAGATGTTCAAGCAACAGTACACGAGGTGCTTTCGTACACAGGACCACTGCCAACAGCATCCTGGAAGTACCCAAACCAAGTAAAATACATCTTCATATTCATATGTTTGGTGATATATATCGTGCAATGTAATTGTAAATATATGCATGCAGCGTTTAGTACGTCTTTAGATAATCAAACTTACAAATGTAAACATTCGCACAGGAATCATTTCAGGAGGCAGTTATCTGAATGAAATTGTGAAATTTGCAGGAATCATGCTCACTGCGTCTAGATGAGTTGTTGCCTCAGCTTCAATATGAACCAAAAGACGAGATGCATAGCACCATGGCTCATGCTACCCTGCTAGAATTACTTATTGATAGGTATAGAATCACTATATGACTACCCCATTTCTATTTCCTATCATGTTCCACATGCAATCTACTTTCAGTGTGTCACAGCAGTCATATAGTATCAGGAATCCTTACGTAATAATGTAAAGTTCTGCATTTATTTTCATACCCATATAATCAGATAATTTCATGACTTGTTGAAAACATTGTCATCAACGTATGGCCAGAATGAATTTAAATCGCAAACCTCGTATATAAATAGAATTAGCAGTAATGCAAATCTCCCCAGCCTGAACCCGACTGATTTGTATTCTCAGGTTTCTCCTCTTATTTCAACTGGAGGCAGCATATATTGACTCGGCTAGCATTTGTGCCGTGGGGGAAACACAGAGCATACTGGGGAAGTCTGTGGGTCTCGCTGTTAAGCGTCACTGGGAAAAGCTGCACCCTCTTTGCTCCGGCATAACACTGTGGAAATCAGAGGTTATTATATGAATAGGATATGAGTGTTTTTGGAACCATAGGGCTTAACTGTGTTTTCTATGTTTAAAACATTGCATTTGTTGATGCATCGGATCCCCATGTTGTTATTTATGTCAGGATACTAGATATGCCATATTGTATTGCTATTTTGTAGATGGGAGTATGCAAAGAATTGCAACTGTTTCAGACAAAGAGGCAGAGCTTGACCGGCTGTAGTCCATTACAAGTGCTTGCAGCACCATCTACGAGGGCTAGCTCTCCAGGCATCTCTAAGGTGATTTATGTTTTTAGTAATGATATTGATGTAATATAAGTTTTGCTGAATAATAAATACCTGCACACAACAGTTATAACAGTATGTATAACATTTGTTATAACAAATTCAATGTTATAACATGTAGATAAAATTGTTGTAGCTACAACCTTCTTGCCATGTAATAGAGGTATAACGCTGCTAGAGAAGAAATTCCTCAACTTGATTATCCTTTGCCTATTTGCTGCTTTAATTATCAACATAAAACTTTATCACCGTTTAAAAGCTTTTTCACGAAAATACACTTGTGTACTCCTATTTCTCGTTGGTCAGGATTGGTGCAGCAAGTCGTCACAGACGGAGGAAACTCTCCTTGTACCATGTGATGCCTGTATGAGCGTTCAACGAAACCTCAGACAGGTTGGTCGCACGCTGGTGCGTGCGTGCAGCGAACACGACCTACCCTCGGCCCTCGGTGAGATTTCACATCACCTGGTCTCTGCACCGTTCCTCGTGAAGCAAATTGTCACGCAGAAATCTAAACTGTTTGTCTGCACGTGCGATCACAAACCCATTACACGATCTTGTAGGATATTGAGAAAAGCATGACAGGAAGGAACATTAACCTAAGGATTTACTGAATATATGTGTATCTATGTTAATGTCTGTTATGTTACTATCTATATTTGTTGTCATACTGAACAAATATATGTATTCCTGTCGAGCAGGATGATAACGAGATGCCTGTGTTCAGCATTACTGTAAAGTGCCCTAGGGTGCGAAATTAACGGGAGTCCGGAGTCAAATACTCCCTGATTTACTGCCGGACTCCCTGATTTGACATATGCAGGAGTCCGTGTGACTCCCTGAAAATTCTGCCATACCAACTAGTTCATTCCAGAGCACGACCTCATGGAATTACCGTATTTTTTCAGCAAATGTCCAAAGAAAATTTGGCAGACGTGCAACCGCATGCATCTTCAAAATAAGCACATGCGTTATTGTTAATATCTTTAATTTTGAACTTCAGACTGCGGACTCCCTCATTTTGCCGCGGACTCCCTCTTTTTGAGGGCAGGGACTTTTTGAGGGGAGTTGTTCAAAAGTTCAAAAGTCCTATTGTTCAAAAGTCCTGTTGTTCAAAAGTTAATTTCTACCCCAGGTGCCCTGTTATGTATCTTTTACCTATAGTGGTAAAACACTAATGTAGGTATCCGTACGATTAAGCTGATGTGCCCGCGTGAATATCAGCTTTGAATGTGCACTGCCCGTTGAAGTACGGCCAAACTATTGAGGCTGCTGTATTGCGTCGTGATGCTGGGACAGGGGTAGAAATAAGGAGAAAAAAAGAGATGGTCCACATGACCATCTAGTTTGAAATTTAGATGGTCCTCCTAAATTTTAGATGGTCCTCCTAAATTTAAAATTGTTCTCTAAAAGTAATGTGGCGTGCAAGCGTGAGAAAGAGATTTTACATGGTGATAAAATGGAAATTATTCACCTACAATGAATGTATCAAATGATACAGTAAGTGTTCATTCACTTTAATAGTATATTGGTTAATAAAGTTGTTTCAGTATAATTTAGTCGAACCCATAATGGTCCGGTCCGTCGGACCATTGACTTTGAAAATCTGATTGTCCTCCTGATTATTTGATGGCGCCGGACCATCGGACCATCGCTTATTTCGACCCCTGTGGCGATACTTCAGGTTGCATTCTCGTGCCTATTCACAGCTAGACTTACTTGGGGCGTGGACAATAGGGAGTGGATGAACGCGAGTCATGTCGTCCGGTGGTGCGTGGAACAGGACAAAGACGTGACCTTGCTCTCTTCTCATTTCAAGTCGATGCAAGAGGTGGATGATCAACTAAGGTCACAACTCATGGAGGCTCAGGTTGGGTGCTTCAGGAACTGAAATCCATTGCGATGCTTAAGTCGTCTTTCTCCCGATTAGTTATGATAACTTTTTACGAACATGCTATGGTAATGTATGAATAATAATGATGTAATCTTCTATTGTATATATTAGCGCGAATGTAAGAAGCTCAAGGAGAATCTCAGAGCAGAAGAAGAGACGCGAGGAATCCAGTTGAAACAACACCAAGCAAAATTGAGCAGCAGAGAGCATCTGTGGGCAGGTGACATTCATGCATGATAGCAGATAGAAAACCTGATGTGCTTGCTTTTTCACAAGGCGTTTTGGTACCGATGTCGTCGTTTTTAGTTGTACCTCGGTCCTACTAGCGTATGGCTTTGTGTTTTGGCAGAGGAAAAATCAAAGCTGCAAACTCAGTTGCTTGCTGTCGAGAAAGACAGGAACGCATTGCAGGCTGGTCTTCTCCAACATCAACAGTTAGAAGCATCCCTGCAGCAGCAAGTCCAGATCCAGAGTATTAATATTGTTGATTACATTTGTTGTTATATGAGTAAAGATCCTTTTGTCCATTTAATTTGTAGATATTTTTTTCTTTGTTTCACAGAAAATACCAAAAGCATACTGTGGCAATCTTACGTGTTTAACTGAACGTTATAGTATTTTTTATGAGAAGTAAAAATATTCACCCGTGAATATCATCAGTAATCAATCTACCAGGAAATGATATCTCTGGGTGTCTTTTCTAAGCGTTAAGTCTATAATTCAGGTTAATCTTACATGAAATGATATAGTAACTAAATTAAATATCTACCATAGGTCAAGAGAATGCATCGATGGCTCAGCAGCTCCAGGCAATTCAAGGGGAGATGGAAGCGCTGCAGAAAGAGCGAAAGAGTTATCTAGAAACCGAGGAGAGCTTCAAGGCATTGAAGAGCACAGTCGCTGATCTCGTCAAGTCGAATCAGAATTTAAAAAGAGTTGGCGACGAAATGGAGACACGTGTAGAGGTATGAGTATTAGAACCATCCACCTCTCCTTATGTCATTCCCCCCTCGTGTTTTCTCACGTGCACATGTACACACGCATGCACTCTATGTCACAGTGTATAATTGAATATACTTGCATTCAGTGACAGTAGTGAGTGTTACGCAGTGGTGTCCTTGTGGAATTATGAACCGAAGTTGACTCGTAAACGTGCTCCCAGGAGAAACGCGTGAAAATCCTTATGCTTCCAGGACAAACGTGTGAAGATTCTTATAATTATTTCGCGTGTTATTTCTTCTCAGCTCCTCTCAAAACAATCGGCTGATCTGAGGAGCAAGCTGGAGTCTCAAAACCAGGAGAACGCTGTGCTCACTAAAGTTCTCACGGAGTTGAAACATCAACATGTTTTGGCGATCGACGCTCGCGCTGACACGGACAAAGCGCTGCACGAATGTCGTGAAGCTCTCCAAGAAAAACAGGTGTGTTTCACTAGAGCAAACCCAATCTGCCACACCCTGCGTAGTTGCAAACACCTGGTATTACATTGATAAAGTTGATTTAAATTGAACTTTATTCTTGAGATTCCACGCAATTGAATAGCAATTGAAATTGCTTTGATTGATATCAAAGCTCTATTTACGGGAGACAATACGTGTTTTCGAGGTTATTTTCTATGCATGATGTGAAATTTCATTGCGATTTGCCGATGTCTGTATTAGTTTTTCAGCATTTTCCATTTTCTTTGTACTGAAAGCCTGTTTCTTTATATAGCAAACAGTACAGGATCTGAATGTTGAGAGAGCAAACTGTCGTGACCTAATAGAGAAACTCAAAGATGAAGTTTCTCTACTAAAAAAAGAAAGGGAAGAGCTGCAGGAGAGAGAGAAACTACTGGTTGAGTATCCAGATCTGTACAGAGCAGCTGATGCTAACCTCACTGGTATTTGAGATACATCATGTTATACATAATATTATTATGCATTTGAGGTTTATGTACATATTCTTACTCAGTTACGTGCACTACTTAACTCTTTGCAATTGTAAGAGTTCTGATTCAGTTATGTAAATATATAGCGGTGTGTTAGATGTACGCTTAGTGAAGATAGATGATGAACACGTCCTGAATGATCGGGATGTTACAGAGCATAACAGACTTTATATTTATTGAAAGTAAACAAACTAGTGAAACTATGTTTTGACTATCGTAAAAATAATTGCATCCTTGCTCACTAGAAGATTGGATTTCCTGTTTTGCATTGAAAGTTTGTGCGATTGCTCTGTCTGTGTCTGCCGGCATGTAATTTGGGATTTTCGCTGATCACTGCAGGCACTGGTGACATTGTGCAGGACATGCAGCGACAGGTGTCGGCTAATTCGATCAGGATTCAGGTGCTGGAGAAGCAGAATTGCTCGCTGCGCAACTCTCTCTCCAAGCTGCTGGCCGCCAGCAAGAGCAGAGAAATATCTCCGGTAAGACTTTCCGCGAGAAGGCGAGGGATAGAGGGATAGATGGGCCATCATCTTACCTACCTTATCTTACGTCCAACATGCGCGTGCACGACTGGATAGAGTAAGGGAGGGCGAAGGAGAGATGTAGATAGATAAATGGATGGATGGATAAATGAATGGATAGATGGGTGAGAGGGTGAGTGGATGGATGGATGGACGGACGGACGGACGGATGGACAGACGGATCGGTGGGTGGATGGATTTGTGTGCGTGTGCCTGCATGGTGGATGGGTGAGCATGCAGAATGACATTCATATTTAATGCACTAGGTGTGTCGTTTATGATAATCTAATGTGTTTTGAATAGTAAGATAATAGCTCTTGATTTCTAAGTAAAAATATAATCGTGACATTCATTGAAATAAAGGAAAACGATGCAGAAGCAAGAAGAGAGGGGGAATGCGAATCTGAGGAAGCACTTCCAGTCACAACCAATGGACACAATGGCATGAGGTGCAATATATTCACATATAGTTCGAACAACTTCTCTTTTCTGCTCTTTAGCAGTAATACCTGTTCTGTCAATGGGGGGTATTCATTCAGCATTGCCGAAACGAGCCAATCGTGTGTAACCACTAACCACGGAGAAGAGATTCTGCAATTTATATTTGGTGTAATTTCAGGATCTCCTCACGCACAGGGGATCGCAGTGACAAAGTCGACACATTAGAATCAAGCGAGGGCACATGTGTGTTGAAAACAGCTGCGAGGCAGAGGTTAGATAGTGCTAGGGGAGACACTGTGGATTCCGGCATTGCCCTGCCAGAGACAGCACAATCTACTTCAGCGTGGAATGGAGTGCCAGTTGAGGGGAATTCTAACGCATGTGTCACTGCGGCTGTGGTGACTCCGCCCAACTCGCTACGGTCATCTCGAGGCGGCACCACTCCCTGTCCTGACTACAAACGCGGGTCTTCAGCCACGGGTAAAAATCCAGCATTGATTTCGCACACAGACGGACCGCCATCCGCCCAAACTACGAATGTCGCCGAGCCCTTACCGAGAAAGAACTCTTCTTCAACCCTGTTATCCACTTCCGTGACGACATCTAACGATGGCAGCTCGACGAATGCGAAATCTGTAGGTCATCGACAGCAAGCGAAAGGAAGACGACTCGCCGCGCACAACGTCAGGAAGGAAGGCGGCGACGGTTCTCCGACGACGGCGAAGCCGGCATCTTCCGATGGAGTCGTGAAGCTCTCCTCTCTCAACAGCAGCTGCCTGAACACCTACATCAAGCTGAAGCGCACCGAGATGCTGAAGCGATTTAATAGCTCGCAGCATCCGGGGAGCCCGGCGAAGCACTAAAGCCCGCGGGGATTCACCGCCGAACGAAGAATGCCCTCGCTCGGAACAATCATCTGTTAATGGAGCACTTGTACGTTTCTTTGTTTGTTGACCTTGTTCGTCGTCTAAGATTTAATACAGACCGTCAAACAATTTTGTAATTAGCTTGCCTTGACATCGTCAAGATGAGCTATTGCCATGGGGTGTCGTCCGTCCGTCCGTCCGTCCGTCCATCCGTCCGTCCGTCCGTCAACATTTGGCTACGGTCAACGATAACTCAACAACCGTTTGACCCACATGTTTCAAATTGCATATAGTTGTTACTCCTATGGGAGAGGTTTGAACGTCCTATTTTGGAGCACGCCAGTTGACTTACATTCGAGCCACGTCCACTTTTTGGCAATATTGGAATATTTTATTGTTTTTATTTGCGCGATATTCGAAAACCAAAATGGCGATAATTTAGGCGTAGCACCATCTCTCATCAAGATTTCAGACTCAGATCTGAAACATTTATTTTCGCATCAAAACTTATGCATATATCATTATCAAGAGTATATGATGGGAGATATGCTATATAATGGGAGTTCTCCCATATATACTCTTGCTTTATATATCCTCCCTCCCTCTTCTATCACACCCAAGGTGAGCTACAGTGTCATTGACACTCATTTTTTTCTATTGTTGCGTGGTTTAGTTGTTAGGATTCGGTGGTTTCCTGCAGAGCCATGTGAAGAGATCGACATTACCTGTGTATATTGAATGAAATTATTTAATACATATAGGTTTATGGTCGTACTACATTTTCTATACACAACGCTAGCATTTTTATTATCGCTAGACTATGTTCATATACTTGTATTATAGATTTGGGTGCAATAGCTATACTGTTATTGCTACTCTGCTGTTGGTATTAACGTTTGCTAGTTACAGTTATGTTTCCCATTCTCTGAGCTGTTGTATAGTATCAGGAATGCACATATGCGCGCTTGTATTCGAATATTTTTCTTCTAATTAGTAAAGCTCGTTTAATAATACTAGTAATATAGGCATATTCCCGATGTAAATCCTCGAATCCTTTCTTATATTAAGAACAGAATAACGTTATGTAACTGCACATAGCACTTATCATTGGAATGTAGAAGTTATATTATATTATCCAATAGTATAGTAGTGTATTAGTAAATAAATAAATTCATCTATACTATCGAATTGTCGAGTTGATTTCAACGTGCAATCGGCGGGCACACCTCACAGATTAAATTCTACACTAACATACACTAATGCGATTGAAAGGGGCAATGCACGCTTTTAAATTATTGTTCCCGATAGATGGCGGGACGACAGATTTAATGTCTCGTAACCTATGCTCGTAACTCTCGTTGATAGTTAATGGGAGATTTGGTGCTGCATGTTTTTTTTCTACGAGCTTTACGTTGAGTACATTTTGACATACTTAAACGCCGTTCTGAAAAAAATTGTCACATGCGTGTAGAAACATTCTATTATGTACTTTCTTGGCAACCATGGTTGTTAAAGGGTGAGACGGGCCATATTCTGAGCAATTCAAAGGGACGTAAGAGGTGGGGGGGGGGAATTCCGTGACTTAGGGTCATTTAGATCTTCTAAGTCTTTATTTCATTTTAACCAAACTGAAGGAAGCGCAGCCTCATCGCCAATCTCAGAGGCTGCACAATGTACCTAGTCGTAGGAAATCTCCCTGTAGCATGGCGGTAGACCACTATTTATTTATTCTCCATAGTATAGTAAGACCATTGTCACTGCTTTGTAATGATATGGTGCAGAGTTGTCCTCGGTTACGCTACATTAATGAATGTTAAATCAGCCACTATGTGGCGATATGCCTTTTCCATGATATATGGAGCTGTATGTCCAGCCTTTACAAAAATATGCACTTTTGTACAATATACAATTATACAATATATATATACAAAAGAGCACATACCGACCAGTCACTTTAATAATCATAAGGTACCTAGTCGTACCAAATATTCCTGTAGCAATGTGAAACACCCCTGTGTCTGGGAAACTACACAATATTTCGTTGAAATTATGCCTTTCAAATGTTGAGCAAATATCTCTCGTAGTAGTTTAACATGACTATACGTACAGCCCTCCTCTCCCCCTTTAATAATGATAGAATCCCCAAGTTTCCTTGGATGACGTAACACTGGTTGGGCGATGTATGTCTCATGTGTCTTATAATAAAAATACTGTACGGCTGTACCAACTTTACCAAGTAAATGAACATAGTACTTTGTTGAAAAAGTTATTTTCAATTAGAGAGCGCATACACATGGGTAGTATAATATTAAGGTTCTCTATTCGAATTTCTCACTATAATAATAATAACGCTTACTCTTACCAAACATGTCTCATCACGATATCTCATCACGATTTCTATTCGCGCATGTGTAGTATTTTCCAATTATTTAGTGTAAAAATATACGTTTGAAATGAGAAGGACACATTCGTCGCAGTAGCTTGACTTCAAAATTAAATCCCAATGCTCTCTGTATCTTTCATCTTACTTATATCTTTATCTCGCTATTATTTAGCGCATTCCCATTATTTTGAGCTCAGTAGTAAGCTCAGTAGTAAAGTCTTTACACGCCTGCGTAATTGGCCGGTGTTTACCGTTCGATGGCGCCACTAACGCCTGCGCGTATCGCGCGTGAAACATTTCAGAGAGGTAGACATTATTAGTGTGTTGGAAGAGGGCGAATGATGTGCTTTCGTCCTTGCTCCATGTATATTGTTTAAAAAATAGTAAACGTTAGTGGTAGTGATATTGTTGTAAAGGCACTGAATCTTGGAACACCAACAGGTGACGTTGACGCCACGGAATGTAACAAATAATTCAAATTTGAGTAAGTAGAAGTATTCAAGTTAGAGCCGTGTGACGAGTGTCGGTTAGTCAGTTACTCACTGTGTTGACGTTGCGTGCTACTGACTACTGTGTCATTGTGAATGTATAAATTTGTAGAAATCGCTTCGTCTTATGTACGGCTTGTTGTCGTTCGTTTCTGTGAAATTACTCGACAGTTTCCCAGCATGTAACGAAGCAACTAGTACTAGCACAACGCCGCGGTACTAGGTACCACTCATGATTATGCAGCCATTGTGCACACTTGATTATTATCACCATTAATCATGACCAAAAACATCACCATAACCCCCCAACCTTAACCTCAACCAAAGTTAATGTTATTGTTAGGACGGGGTAGATTTACACAATAACTCCACTTATGATTTCTGTCGTATAAGTGTGCGAGATGCTGCAAAATTCTGGCCACATGACCACGGACTTGTTATCAATACATGCGTATGCATACATGTACAATTGGTCATGTATCGTAAAATTGTATAAACGTGTAATGTTCACAGTAATGCGGAGCTGACCGGCTATCAGCTTTAAGATTTTAAAGAAGTCCAGCTTGAGACTAATTATCTCTCACAATTTAATCTGCAGCAGGATGAAAGTATGTCTTTCATAATGATGAAGAAGAAGAAATACAAGTTTCAAGTGCAATTCGACTTGGAGGAGCTCTGTTCCGTACCATTTGTGAATGCCATTCTCTTCTCAAAGATTCGACTGCTGGACGGGGGAAACTTTGAGAAACTATCTTCCAGGTAACTGCACATATATATACAGGGGTCGAAATTCGCTAACAAATACACTTGCGCATGCTGCAAGTTAGGTTAAACAATTACTTGCGCCAGGAGATTTTTACTTGCACCTACCTCTGTTGCTCTCCAAACTGGCAGTACCCCTTCCCTTCCTCCCTGTTTTGGTTTATGATTTATTCGATGTCTTTTGTGTCTTCCTGCTCTGATTCAGAGTCATTTAGTACACTTCAATTTCGTACAGAAATCAAAATTAAATGGGTTTGACTTCTAAATACGTAAGTAGCTGGCATATTGTTGACTTGCGGCAGCCGAAATTGCTACGAAACATCACTTGCGTTCGGTGAAAATCACTTGTGTTGCGCAATCACTATATAGCGAATTTCGACCCCCTGTGTATACCATTATAATCTTATTATATTGCATGTATTGTTTTTTTATATATATGTTGTTATGTTATAATATCATGTACAGTATTATCATATGTCCATAGTTTATTCAATTTCATCCAGTCATATAATTTTAGAGGTGGACAATGTGCTCTTACTGATGAGCGTTTATGTTTGTTTACACACCCAAAATGTTGTTTATATCGTTGTGTTACAGTGTAATAATACACATTACTTGTAAGCTGAAATGTGATGAGGTAAGAGTTTATACCCGAGAAAAACAAATGTCATTAATCACTGGATTTCCATCAGTGCGATGTTAACATGAAATACTGGTAAAATGTAGGGCAGCAATAGCTAAAGCAACGACTAGTTGAGCTCAGATTTGTTTTTCCTGCACGCTTTCAACTTGTCACAATGCCTCTATTCATACCATAGTTAGATTGCAGTTATACGTGCCAGTGTGAGCGGGCTACATGCACATGGCATCTGGAATACGAAGATTTGCAATTGCTGGGCAGGCACGTCGGATCACAAAATAAACCTAGCAAGGTTGTCACATCATGACACATCTTAACCTGATGTGAAAATTGTGCAATTACCCAGCCCCGGTGCTCCGGAAAGGGGGATAACAATTTGTCGCTAGTTAGGGAAAAGGTGGATCGTACCGCGAGATGAGTGAATGCGTGCAGGGAATATACAGAGGCTGCTGATTGCTTCTTCCTTTGCTGCACTGACTGTGAATCTTGCACTTAGCAGACACACGTGCACGCACACACACACTAACACGCACACACACACACACACATGCGCGCACGCATGCAGGCGTGCACACCCGTATGCAGACGACTGACGTAGATGATGTTTACTGTTTCATAAAACCTACTACTGTCTGCAAATGTCGCATCCTGAAAGTCACGAGGTGCATTATTGCTCATGATTATGACATTAAAGGACATCCTAGCAAGCTCGATGCATCCCGTGAATGTATTTATTGCCCTTGGTTAATCACATTTTATCGCACATCCATTGAAATAAATGCAAATATCCTTATGGAAATAGATGTGGGTGCTGGCTACGCAGTAAATATATATATCCAATTACATCAGTGTCACGGTAAATAGCATCTATCATCTATCGCGTTTCATCGCGTGTAAAACCAGAAAGTCTGTTTGTCTCGTCGATGATTCACCAGGTGTAGCGTTACCATGGGTACAGCTCAGCGGCAAGGTGAGGGGTGCCGAAATAACAACAGCTAGGGCCAGCAGCTGTTCATTCACCCATTGTCCGTCGCTCTCCGACCTGACAACTTGCCTACCAGCCCTGCATAGTCATGGGGAGCGGGGAGAGTCCAGTCCTGTCAGAGAGTGATCGTTCTGGCATCTCAAGCTTGCTGGTCAATGAGGTCAAGCGGAGTACGCTGGTATTTGACTCGGCTGCCATCTACTACTCTCCTGAGTACAGCACCGAGGGAAACCAACCCTTCTTTCGCATGTGATTGGGTCATTATTAAGTTTGGAGTACAACAACAAATCTTTTTTGCGTTTATTTTTAACTGCGTGAACATTCGAATGTCTTTTTATCGCCCCTATCTCTGTGTACACATTGCTCAATAAGTAATCGTTGGAAGTGCCTTGTGCGTTGGTGGGAAATAGCTACTGCTATCTTATGCACACCTCTGTACTGATCCTCGTGGCCAAGTGTAATGTAAATAGAAACAAACGTATGTTATACGTCTACGCTGCCGATCTACGTACTACGTCTGTACGAGTTGTCGACCAGAAATAGTGCGCAGTTTGGACCGTTGTTTCTTGATGCGCCCGTTGTGTATTGCTGGTGTTGCTAGCAACCGAATTTTTCTTCTGTTGCTAGGCGAGCATGTGCCTTGTGCATCCTCCGAAATGGGTTGAAACTAGATGTAGGGCTATGTATAGACTTTTGTACTCGTATAGCACTTCATAGTCGATGTGTGACGTCGTCGACCTCCACCACTGTCTGGTCACGTTGCCCTCGTTAACATAGCTTTTGTCAAATTTCTAAACGCTCCTATAATTCCCTCTGAAATTGAAAGTTGGAATAAACACGAAACTTCATACCAAAAAGACAGACGCCTGCCGCCGCTAAGGCATGATTCTTTTTATATATCCAGGAAGTGACGCAAGACATTTCCTATGTTGCTATGGCGATAAGGATGTAGTGTAGCACCGCGCCAATTTAACGGCTTGTTTCTAAATATACACGTTGTATTTCGGTGGCGGAAAAAGCGGTCCATTCTGCTGCTACGAAAAAATGCTTCTCGGGTTGCCACTGGGGACGACGGCGGATGCTGGGGGAATTATGCGGAGGTTGCTGAGAGGATGATCGGTATGAGGATTCTAGCTCGTGTCTCCAGCTGCACGCGATGTTGATGCAACGTGATGCGTCGTCTACGATCTGTATCAGTAGATCCGCGGTTTCCACATGGATGTTTCCACATAAGACAGCAACGCAACTGTCTTATATGTGTGCGTGCGTGCATTACTCTGAAACCCGTGGCGTTTGCCTATGAGGCACGGACCGACTGCCTGCAATTACCGTATGGTATTTCACTGTAGTAAATGTGACACAGTTACTAGACTGTGTGTAGACTGTGTGTATTTGATTTCGGATCTGGCACAGCATTGGCTTTGAAATGCACGACCCTGCGAATCGGCAGCGCTTGCGTGCGTGCGTGCGTGCGTGCGTGCATTTTTGCGAGCACGCGTGAATCGGCGGATGGGTGTATTTGCCGTATAAGGATTATGAATATATATTATCAAGAGCTAATAATACCTTATTATTAGCTCTTGATATTATCTATATGCTACATACATGCGCATATTGCCGTGTGTAATATTTCACGGGGCAGCCGCAGCCTACATACTGGGCTTGCCGTGTTTAACGGATTCACTCGGCTGCTATATACGGGGCGTAAACCTTGCAAGCGGTCCAATGAACGCGTGCAGCAAATAAATACATAAGACGGAGAAGTGGTGGGTGGTGGATGAGAAGAGAATGCAGCCAGACACGTCAGCAATAGTGCGGTTTTGCTACCACGGTCTGCTGGGCACGACTGCCGTGCCTAGCCTACTGTAAAACTAGTTGTCAGCGACGGGAGGGGGGAATGTAACCTTTATGGTGGAAAAAAGGAGACTGTAAAGACGCGTAGGGTTTGTTTGCTGCTGCTGTATTAGAATTTAGTGCTGCCTTGCTTACGATAGCGCCTGTGCCGGAATCGCAACCTTAGTAAGCTTCATGTAATCAAGGGTCCATAATAGATGTATATTGTATATGATATACATACTCTTGATGTAATGAAATTATCCGATAAGATAAGCATGATATATGCATTTTTGATATTTTGCTCTGTGCGCATGAATTAGGATAAATGAGACAAGTCAATGGTATTAGATTTCTAGTATAGTGACGGAGTGAGGCGTCTTGTCTAGTGGTATTTAACAGTGTTGCCGTCTTGAATCAGAATGCTAAATGTTTCAGAAAGAACTGCTCATTCTAATCCTCGAAAGTTAATCCTAGTTTATAAATGCCCCCCCCCCCCGTATTAAAGATCTATAATGCTGGTTCCTATTTGCATAGTCCTTTTGCTTTTACCTCGCAAATTTCATCCTTCCTTAAGATATAGGACGACAACATGTGTCGTAATAAAATCTATATAGAAGATACTGTATTAGAAAATATTATTCATGCAAATCTTTTTATGATTCGTCGGCAAACTTTATCTTCAGTTTGTGACATCGAGACTCCAAGGCGGTTGGAGTCTCCAAGCATCAATTGAAATAATAATGTGCATTAATAACAAAGCACAGTAAGTGCTTGCTTTTCTTCCAGTTTATCTGTCAATTATAATCGTCATGTGTCTTTGAATCATAAGTTTAAAAATTCGTGTGTCATCTAAACTCGATGCAGGCAGTTTTAATTCGCACTGCCTCTAAATCTGTTGCAAAAACCGCTACGTTATTCGGTATGTTGCGCAGTTTATTTAAGACCTTGCTTGCGTGCAAAAATGTTAATTTTGGAGACAGGCTCGTAATTTTACTCCAGGTCTTTTAGGGGGAGAACAATGATGTTCGAATAAGTCTGCACTGATATAACAACACCCGGATGGCCTTGTTCTTTGCTGTTCATTAGAGCAACTTTACTGCGTGTACCAGGACGCGCGCGCAGCGGGATGAGGGCTAATCTAGGATCTGGTTTTAATATTCGGGGATGTGCAGTGACGCCCCCATAGTAATTAGTAATTACACACCCGATACAGACATCCTGTCGACAGCCAGCAGCTATCGAATTCATCAAATAGCCAGTACCGCGTTTGCGAAACCGCGTTTCCATTCGCACCTACATTGATGAGGAAATCGATGCGAGTGTATAGCCTGAATGCAGTACAGCGTGCATTCTTACTCAGTAGCTATCCTGCACGCGTTCTATATAATTAATCCACCAGGTGACGGACGGGTGACAGTTGTTTACATTGCCAATATGCCTGTCTTTTAATCTTCTGTTATCTGTCTTTTAATTAGGAGGTGCCGACCGCGAAGTCGTTTGATTATATCACGATATTGCTAATAACTATTACACTATCTGCTATTACAGTATTACTAGTATGAAATTGAGTTGATTACAATCAATGATATATGTTTTCAACTTTATATGAATTATAAAGAGTATTACATTGAAATAGATACTGTAAAGTAAAAAACACAATATTTATTTTGAATATTGCATTTTGTTGAAGAAAGCCATTACTTTTGAAGTCTTTTAATTCTATAAAGTTTGGAGCTTATCTATAGATCTGTCCGTCTCTCTCTCTCTCTTTCCTTTTTTTTCTCTCCTCTCTCTCTCTCTCTCTCTCTCTCTCTCTATTCTACATATCTTTTTGATCTCGCGTCTCTCTTTTCGCTATGCATGGAATACGTAGCGCTGTAAACACCATCGTGTACTTCTCACAGCCACAGAAATGAAATGCGGGATAATATTGCGCAATTTGCTTGTGGTTGCTGTCACTTCCGGGTAACTGCGTTCCCGTGGGCTCGCCCGATTTGAGTACAGGCTGGCTATTTGGGGTACATGTGTGGGCCCAGACCACACAACCCGTGGCTTGCACATGCATGTATCGTTTAGGGGGCTAAGAAGGTCGTTGCGTTTCGACGCTAGTTGAGTGTGGTTTCTCCTGAAATTACCAGCTTGACCCATATCCGAAAGCATTCGGCTCGTCTATCTGTACAACCTTTCCTCTCTCCTCGCCAACTCTTGTGTGAATTCTTACATGCGCATTTTTTGGAAAGTACACTCGCATCTCTCTGGAAAACATACGTTGGAGTTTCTTCGAGAAAAAAATCGTGTATGCGAAACTCGATGGGTGCGGAAGTGTACACGTAACTAGAGTTAGCTAGCAGTTGTTTGTATATATATACCTGCGATGTCCCTGACCTGCCATCCTTTACAGGCTCACATCTCTCGACTAATTGCGCCTGTGCGTACCTAATCGGTTAGAGATGGCCATACAAGTTTACATCCGTGTGAATACCAACTGGGCTCCTGTTGGTTTATGTGGATTGTGGACATGCTTCTGACAGTGTGAATCTATGCGCTGACGATTCGGTCCTGAGTAAATTAACTATGCAACAGTTTTTTTTGCAAGCAGTTATGTACATAGATTATGTGCCCTGGATCAGTGCGGTAGATCACTGGCCACCTACTGTCGCTATGTGTGCGTAGCAAGAGGTGCGTAGTGATAATGAATGTAGACGATGACGTCACAGTGCAGGAAACTAGCAGTGGAGGGAGTTCGGTCATCTCGCCAGAAACAGTAAATGTAGAGGTTTTTCCCCCGATCTCGTTCTATCTAAATCATGATTCATTGGTAGCAGCCGGACATAAACGAGCGCCTGTCACTGTCAGGCACGAACATGGTTATGGTGGTTAAACTGTGGGGATGATGACTGCGGGCTGTGTGGTGCGGTTCTCTGTATATTTATGTGTATAAATTTTTAACTCGTTGACACACTGACGTGGGTATACGCAGATGTTTGCATTGTCCACACGAGCCACCGTTTCCACGGCGGGGCAAAGTACGATCACCTAGCTGTAATTTATCAAATTATCAAAAGCTAATAATAAGGTATTATTAGCTCTTGAAATTATCAAACCCCTACTGCTCCCGTTGCTCCTACGTGCTCCATTTACTGTGGGTCATACTTGTGGGGTTTCCACGCTAAATATATATATACGCTAATAACATCTTCAACGTGCACATCTAGCAGATTTGATTTGGGGAAAAAAGTGACGCATTTGGCAAGTTTCCAGAGGTATATCTTTCAGCTATCTAATGAAATACCAAGGTTTCAATTTGCTGGAGATTACAAAGTGTAACTGTTGATATAACTTTAGAACATTTCGAAATCTTACAACTCGGCACGTAGCCTTGTATTCTAGCCTTTCAACTGTTTTTTTTACCTTTCCCAAGAAAACTGCGAAAGGCTTCCAAATCAAAATAATATACTGTTGCTAAATAATCTCTCTGCGCTCGTGCTGAAAAGACAGTCAGGTAAAAACCAGCGCATAGAACGAAGTGAAATTGCGGGCAACCGAAAAACAACCTCTCCCCCCCCCAAAAAAAAGACCCCAGACGAATAAGCAAAACGTACTGTATAATGGCGAAACACCCCGAAAGTGTGTCGCGTTGTTCGCTCACGCAAATGCGAATATTCTCCGAAATGCCAAGCAAACATTCTCATAGCGATACACCCACAGGTATTTTTTTTCACGGCCACGGGCGGCCAGTGGTGTGAATTTACTTCGCGCTATTTTGCACATTGCTCGTAGTGTGTTCGTATGGAGAATTCGACACGCGAACGAGTGTTCAAAGTGAACGCTATAGCGTGCTAGTACCTTACCTATCTGTCTGACTTTGCCCTAGTCTTGTAGACTGAGTCCACACGTCGCTCTGTCGCTGCACGAGAGCTACGATGATCTTCATTTCAAGGACTTACGTGGTTCGGCCTGATCAAGTTACATGTTGGACGACGAGAGAGAGAGAGAGAGACGGAGAGAGTGAGAGAGAAAAAAGAAAGAGAGAAAGAAAATAAAATAAAGAGAGAGAGAGAGAGAGAGAGAGAGACAGGGAGAATAAGAGAGAGAGACACATAGCGAAAAAAATGGAGGGGAATTAAGAGAGAGAGAGAGAGAGAGAGAGAGACAGAGAGGGAGAGAGGGAGGGGAAACGAGAGTGTGTCTTTCACAGATGTACTGACCCCGGGTTGTGTTTGTATTTGTTGCCGCAGGGAGGAGGTTCAGGAGCACTCGGTGAGATGGAACGCAGGCTTCAACTTCTCCTGCAAGATGAGTGCCAACGCTAGCACCGGCGTGCTCGACTCCTGCACATGCCGTGTCTCCGTGAGAAAGGTGAGTCAGCCGTACTCATATACACGCACGCACGCATGCACGCAAGCATGCACGCAAGCACGCCCATTTTTATAAAAGTGTAGTGACATGCACCTATGCACGCACGCATGCATATTTTCCATGAAAGTGTCGTGATACACACACCTACGCACGCGTGCACGAATGCCACACACCTACATCTTTTATACATGTGTAGTGACACACACCTACGCACGCATGCACGCACACGTACACATGCACGCACACACACATGCACATATTCTATTAAAGTGTAGTGACACGCACCTACGAACGCTACACGTACATCTTTTATGAAAGTGTTAATGACACGCACATACGCACGCATGCACGAACGCCATACACGCACATCTTCTATGAAAGTATAGTGACAC